TATGACAAACATAGAAAAATAGGACATAGAAAGAAAAGAAGAAAAAATAACGTAGCATAAATCACTTGAACATTCCACCCCACGATGTGAACATATTTCAGGATTTCGCTTTTGCCGCCGCGCGTATTCCATTTTGGCTCCATGACTTTTCGGGAATGATAACACCAATACGAACGCGTGAATAAATTTGTTGGGCAATGGAGACTGGTTACCTACGCATCGGTTTAGATTCTCCATTTATCTGTTTGTCGAGGGAAGTGGCACACAGTGTGAGCAATAATGTAATGTGTTGTTGCTGAAAGCAAACTAAATCGTATTATCTAGTTGAGCGGCAAGTGGAATTCGGTTTACCGTTGAGAGAATGTTGTCGCTAGGCGTGTGCACGTGATTAAATTTCCCAATAGATTCTCATCATTTGGATGATGATTCCCAGACCAATATTCGTCTCCTTAAATCGTAAATAACGTCGCAGAATAAATAAAATGATTAAATTTTGTGTGGCTTTTTTTCGTGCATTCATTCGCCCACCAAAAATGGTCGTTAATGTCACATTTTTGCGACCAAACATTTTGTTTGTAATGCAACGAGCGCCACTCTCAAACGACATTAAATTGTCACTATGAACTTCCGATAGACATAAAGAGGTACAAACATGAAAAACGTTCGAGCTTCCAAAGGGAAGTGTGCTGTCATCGTACGCACTGGGCTTTAAAATTGAGTGAAAAATGCGCTGTGATTCTAATAATTCTCATCCTCAACCATTCGAATTCACTGGAAAATTTCGTGAAACGCCGACACAAATGTGCCGAAAAATATCCGACATTATGGGAAAATATAGCCTCAAACGAGAAAATTAATAAACAAACTTGAAACGACAGCTCTTATATACGTTTGAGTATAATTTTTTTTTATAGATATTTGTTCTTCAATTTGGACTTTTCATCATTTATGCGCTCATAATTTCTGCCACATTGACTTTATTTGCGGTTATTTCCAGAAGCGGCTCAGACTGCTTTTGGTAAAATCATTGAACTCGAGAATTCGTATTGACGGCACTCATTTTCTCTCTCTCTCTCTCTCTCTCTCTCTCCCACACACACAGCATGCCACTCTCGCATCCATAAACCCTCGTCGACAATGGCATAACAAAAATTATAGATTGGGAACAAGCTCGGCAGAAGAAAACATCAGGCTGCATAAAAATGTATACGTATTTTTTTTAACATAAGTAAATAATATGAAAGGAAATCAAAAACAGACGACTATAAATAAATTTATGGGGTTTTAACGTGGTCGACCGTTTTGATTGTGTACGTGATTGTTTGGTGCCGATTGCTTTTGTTTCGTATTTAATTCGATTTTTTTCCTCCGCTTCTGTCGACTATGTGTATGAGTTTGAGGATGATGTTTTCGATTTTCCCACAAAAATGTGACGAATGGGATGTAATGTTCGTCGACCGAAATTGAAAATGTATTTTCTCTGTTCTGGGTTGGTGTACATGGGAAAATTGATTTTCATTTCAACAGTTCTCTCTCTTACTTTTCTCACCCCATCCACTTTTACGCTATTCCTTTTGATCAAAGTTTGTTCGTTTGTTTTTGAGTGACTGCCAAAAACGGATGGCCTGCAAACAGAAACAAAGTGGAAAAACAATCAAACTGGAGAAAGAGATGACGAAGAAAAAAGTACGAGAGCAAATGACAAAGTGAAAGGAAGCGAGAATAAATTGAATAAATTTTCTTTCGATTTTCGATGCGAACATTTTCACGTTTTGCAAAAAAGTTTTCCATCTCTTTCTGCCTTTCTCTCCCTCTCTTTTTCAATGGGACAAGAGGGAAACTATTTCCGCAAGCTCACGATTCGTTTATGGCTTCAATCTCCCCACGTTTTCCGAATCGCTTTGATAGGTGTTCAAATGGGCAAATGAACAAATGAGTATGCCTATTTTTTCCATAGTATTAAATCTGCTGCATTATTCTTTGCCTGCGAATACATTTATTGTGCCATAAAATAATTTTTGTTTTTGTTTTCGTTCCATTTTCTTAACGTATGCGTGTTATGATGTATATAATTCTGTTGCGTTTTCCGCCAGGTTCATGTCACTTGCTGTGCATACGGAGGCGACATTTCATGCTAATTCAATTCGCTTTGTACTCGTGCCAGAGCCAACATGGCTGGAAAAATGACAGCAATGAGCTCAAGTGTGCGTAAACGGTAGGCACAAGCAAATATGATCTCACTCACTTCGGTTGGCAGATAGTAATTAAAGCCTTTTGCTTTTCTGCCTTTGTTGCTAAGACACAAGCACACAGGAATCGAGTTCAAAACTTAGTTCACTTCTTATCCCTCAATGCATGGCTCAACACCATGCTGTATGTATGTGCGAATGTAGTTGGGAAAATTTTCGGTGGTTTTCCATCTTTTTATCTGTTCATTTCTGTGTGTCGCTCAGCATTTTGAACATGCGGTTTGGATATAGAAATAATGGGGAATGAAAGTTTTGACTCTACGAGAGAGAACTATTTACACGCCAACAACAATAACCGGCTTCTGACAATTCCTGCGGTTCGCATAGTTTGTGCAGTTATTAAAGTAATTAAAGTTTAAAGGGAAAACCCAACCGAGTTTTGACATAACTACCTCTTCTGTCTGTGAGACAACCAACTGGACGACATGCAATCAAAATTAGTCTCGAGAGACAATTTCACCTCGACCGAAAATAAATTCTATGATTTTCCGTGTTAATGAGATACGGCTGGAGAGATAAGAAGTGTTGTGGCTGCGCTTTGAGGACGGTAAATGACTTTGGGCGATGAATTAATTTTAAACCATTAAATATAATAAAAAAAATTCTTCGACATCATTCCAATTCTGCCAATGCAAAACCATTTTCCGAGTGGATTCTACGAATGTGTAATCCACATTCTTGTCATATAAACACTAACTAGTTATGAACTGTAGCGGTGATACAGAGCACTTTTATCTAAAGGAGCTAATCTCTAGTTATGGAAAATGTGGTTCGGACTAAGGTTTTGAGTTGAGTAAAGAGGTGTTGCAAGTGATTCACAAAACATACGACGAACCTAGTCCGTCGAATGGCAAATTATTTCTGTGTCAGAAAGAGATTATTTCAACACCAGATCCCATTAACATATGAAGCGCACTGTACCAACTATTTCCGAACAAAAACGCACTAATCAACACGAATTTTGAAACCAAAGATGAAACAATTCTTTATGATGAAAGTTCTGTTGAACTGATGATTGCGTTCGCATTCATATCGTACATTTTTGCAAATCCAAATGAAAATCTAATTGGAAACTCTATTAAAAGTCATCATGAAGAAAAACCAAAAACGGAATATGTTAAGTGTAGTGGAAATGCTTGTAGTCAGTATAGGTGCTTTGATATGTTTCCTATGGTGTTGTTATTGGTTGTTTTTTTTCTTCTGTTCGTCCTGTAAGTCGAAATGCCTGCAGCTTATTCGGAATGTATTCGTGCATCACGTATTTGTATGTGGTAGACTGGTAATCAGTTGATGGATCCTTTTAAACCTTTCACATGTGTTCGTTCTGTCATAATAAGCTTTCGTTGGTTTTGACTCGGTAACAACATAATAATGCAAGCATACAGAACAGATTACTCTGGCAGTTTATTTCGATGATGATTTCTGACATCCGATGTCATGTTCCATTCAAGACTTGAAGCAGGCGAGATAGGAATAGTTTTTCATGTAGGATTTTATTTAATTATATAATGTACTTTCTATTCACTTCGCTTTTTTCCCTCTCTTCATCCGACGAGCACAGATAAATACAAGTGAACCTTTCTTACGTTGCTACGTTCTTCGCACATTCTTTTCAATTGCACGCAATTTTTATTCGCTTTGTGTGCGATTCAATTGAGTTTTGATGAAAGTGTCTCGTTGCTTTGAGAGTTTTAATGAAGGTTATGGCGTCTGTAACAAGTGATATGTGTCGTTGACATCTCTCTGAATACTCATTCCGATTGCATGACATAAACAATAGCATGCCGGATTGATTCTTCCTTTTTCAATTCACGTAATTAAGACTGGATGTAATTCCATATGACAAATTCAATTTGTGTACAAATCAAGTAAAGCCTCACACAGCCGTAGAAAGCAAACCCACGCACACACACACGTGCACAAATTAACGATAATTAATTAACTAGTATTAAAGCAATACATATACTTGAATGCCTTGTTCTACGATTTATTCGAAGAACTTAATTGATGATAAGTGCTTACAGCATTCGCTGTATTAGACTTATGTCATTCGATGTAGTTTGAACTTTTCTTTGTGCTATCTTCCCATTTGGCAATGCACACAATGCCAAAATGGTTGAAGATACTGGCATGCATTAGATTCTCGCCCACGATAATCTGATGTGAAAAGGACGTTCGGCTTAAAAGCATACCTGTATGAATTTTCCTATCAAAAATTTGATGTCCGCTTCAGCCAGCCGGAAAATATTTGCTCATCTTCGGTTGGACGGGAGAAACAACAACTAAATCGACGTCATTTTCTTTGTCTATGGAAAAGACCTTTTTTCTGTTTGAGTTTTGATCGAAAGAATTAAATCCAAACCTAAACAAATAACAACGGTCAAAATCATGCCATTTTCCAATTTTATTTAACAAAAATGTGGGTTGCACTTTGACAGATATATCAGTTTTTTTTCCTTTGTAACGAACGACGAAATAAAAACAAAATCACAAAATTGTTTTTTTTTTGAGTTTCAAATTCAAATCCAAATACAAAATAAAGTGAAATTGTATTTCCATAAACGATGAATGGCAAAACCTCGCTCATAATCAAATTCTTTTCAGCGCCATTAATCGAATTTTCCATTTAGTAGCAAAAAAAATGAATGCCAAAACAAACAAATGGCATGAATGAGGGTAAAACCTTTAAAGAATGAATAAAATTAATAAAATGTTTCTTTTTTTTCTTCTGTTTGTCATTTTTTTCCGCAGAGAACGACATGCACGTGAACTACTAGAGTCACCCAACGACCACCACCCAACCATAGAGGGGGATAAAAACAACCGTTAAAAGTATTAAACAAGCAACGAAATTTGAATACAAATATCGAGGCAGAAAAATTGAACGAATTTACGAGCGGAGGAAAAGAGCCAAAAGCTACCAAACCGAAATAACAACAACGGACTTGAGCATAAAAAAAATAACATGAAAAATGAATATTGCCAGTTTGTCAAAATGACTGAAGTGAATATATATTGCGGTTAGGTTTAGTTTATGTGCGACGAAAGAGAAGTATTCAACTTTTACAGTTTTTCATGGCATTTAATTCTAATAAATAAATCGTTTACTTTGTTTTTGTAAGTTTGTTTTGTTTTTGTGCTGCTGTTGTGTTTTGCCAACGAAATTTGAATCAACACAACCCCAAAAAACACACACTCACACATACCGATAGACCGAATCGCATTTAGAAAATATGAAAACATTTATTTAGTTAAGTGAATTGTGTCTAATTTTCTTTATCTGCAATTTTTCAAAGTCGAATGAAAATCGGGTGTCTTCGAACGAAAACTTTTTGGTGAAAACTACATTTGGCCGCATATTCGTTATTCCCTTGACAAAATTGTATGTGCTTTTTGTTTCGTTTTGGAGATTGACACGAAAGACATTTACCGTTAAATTCCTATTTATTCAAACATAAAAAATTCATTTCTTTCCTTTTGACTGATTGGCCGGTGAAGAATAGGAAAAAAAAATTAGGTATTTTGTAAAACGAAAAAAAATAATCGGCCGAAACAACAACAATTCACGCGTTGAAAACGTTTTAAAAGTGACAGTGATAAGGGATATAAACCTGATTCAGGACCGACAGTGGTGCACGGTTATTTTTTCTTTCTATTCTTGTATCTGTTCTCGTGAGTGCGACATCGATGACGACGATTCATTGTTTCCCCCCTTTTTCAAACGTATAATAAGTTGAAATCGGTGGAATGCATGGTGAATACAACGAGAGAAAAAACATTTCCAAACGATTTCCATTACAACGTGAACAAACGTAAAAATTGACCGAATGAAATAAAGAGGACAGTTTAGTTGCTTTTACTTGTCTGACGGGCCGCGATAAATATTTAAAAAGAAACGAAAATTTTATAGTACCGTCGTCGGTCGCTCACGAAAGAGGGACACACATACATTGACAACATCGAAACAACACTAAAATTCAGAACATTAAAACGAAATAAGCATAAACGTTGAAAACGAACTAATTGCATCGCACCGAGGTGATTTTATATCACCATACAAAGCGTCGCACAGCCAGTGGCGAAGCATCAGAAAATTTCGTATTCCAATTGAGAGCTTGTTGCGCGTCAGCCGCTGAAGCGACGTGTTCGTGTCAGAAACATGTACAAAACCATCACCATGAACATGTTTTACCTTGAAGGATTTATTTATTTATGGATGTTTGCATCATTTCTAACGGGTAAGTTGGCATTTCCCTTTTTTTTCTGGTTGTAATGTTGTTTAGATTTTGTGATAATTTTATCATCGGTAAAGACGCAAATCCGATACATATTTTCGGATTACAAGCCATACGGATATAGGACGGGCGGGGTTTTATTAGGGCACGTACTGGCCATGCAGTGATGGTACATGCTAACTCAAACAAACACGCAAACAAACAACTCGATAAATTATTATATTTGCTCAAGTTTTATGTTGAACGCGTGCATTTGGCTGTGGCACAGTGTGTGCGGGTCAAGTGATCACGCTCGACCGAACTTACGGCTTTCTTTTTAGCGGGCGGAAGTACAAGAGAATTGGACTGAACGAAAGAAGAAAAAAAAAATTGGAAATTTCTTTGCGCAAAACAATGGGTATCCCAAAAAATATCCAAATATTTATTCAATTTTATGTCAGATCGTGCTTGAGAGTTTCTTCAACACCATCGAACATTATGAAAAGTTATGTACTGGGGAAACAGTAGCAGACAACGAAGAAATTGTTGCACAAAATCGTATTTTTTTTCGCCTTCAGATCAGTTACATAAATTGGCCAGTGAATAACAGTTTTTCGTTTGCTCTTATTAATTCATTTGTTTTATCCACTTGTGGTCAATAATATTTCGCTTTCACTTCGTGAGCTCGATTGGAAATTGGTTTTTCCAGGATACCCTTGTGCAAACACCGTTCGTATATTGTTATTTGAAACCTCGTGCAACCATCATAAATTTTATGAACAATGGGCGCGCCACTCTCTTCAACAACCTTCATTTCGTTCATAAATTTTTCATGTTCGCTTCACCCAATTGAATTTTCATTAACGATCAAACAAAGAATATTTATGAAAATAGACTAAGATATTTTTTTTCTGTCGGTGTTTGTGTGTGTGTTCATAATTGTATCCGTTACTATGATAACGAATAGCTATATGGAATTTTGTTATTGTTTGTGTTATTGATTTCTAATTATTTACTCGTAAATACTCACAAATCAATCAGCTACTTGATCTTTTTTTTGCTCTTTCTCCGCATGCAATGAAAACTCAAACCCATAAAATTTGGTAACTTATAGCCGATACACAATCATAAACAAAACAGCTTGTTTATTTCGGTAGTTGCAGTCTGACGCACATTACGGCGTTTCATTGGAGTGTGTCGAAATAATAATGATAATTAGACGCGATTTGAATTCAATTACCACATTCACATTAACCAATAGATTGTTACACATAACAAGTCCGAACAATGGGCAAAATCATTTTTCAGTAGTCAATTAGCTGGGGAATTTTTTCCAGATAGTCGTTATTGTTATCGAAAAATCGAATCTATGGCTGATTGTATCGGCAAAACATTGATGATTGTGTGGAAAACCTTCATTTCGTTGATTGTATCGCACAACTCATCATCTGATAAAGAGATTCAAACGAGCGAGAGCGCACGCGACTAAGGTCGAGTTGTCTGATTTGTTTTGTCTGTGCAGAACATAGGAAATTGGGTACAGTTGAACTAACAAGAAGGATTTAATGTGTGTGATCCACATAAATGAACATTTTACCGTGAATGTACACGCACATTGTCACCACATATCACCTCTCACGTATGCGATCCCCATGTCTGTACATATCCATTGTGTTGTTCAGTAATAATGCAATAAATCACCCGGCGGAATACCTGCAACGAATGGGTCGATGAAAGACGCGCACCATAGACAATAGCGATAATATTGTCGTTGTCGTCGTCATCGTCAATGCCAACAACACCGTAATCCGAACACACGCGTGCCCCGCAAAATTAGATTTTTGTCGGTTAGCATGAGCGCCGGGTTTTGATGTTCGCATCGAAACATTCAGACAACAAAAAAAAACACCGATTTCCTTTCAAAGTGGATATATTTTTGGAACCTTTTGTCTTCTGGCCAAACTGCAAAAACGTGCCCGAATACTTGAGACATGTCTCGAAACGGGGTCTGAATTACGGGCGTCATCGCCACTTTGGATGCAAGGCCACACAAGAACTTTGTCGCATTCATAATAAATAAAAAGTGTCAGGCATGAATTTGCAATTGTCATTGGTGCTTATTGAACACCCAACGCTCAGCCGCAAAGCACCGAAATGCTCTTAATAAAATTACGCCAAATCAATCAATCCGGCCGATGCATACACATAGCTTAAGCAACTTGATAACACCAAAATAAACCGAACCAAATCCAAAGTAAATGCCATTTATTAAATGGTGGCCAAAAAAACGAGAGAGTGCTTAGTAAATTCATTGGAGATTTATCGAAAACCGTTCACTTTGATGGCACTTTCTTTTCATAATATTGTTCGGTGTTCGGTTGCTTAAAACTTTTGCTCAGCACATTCTTCTCTCTCGCTGCCCAAGTTTGTTAAGTAAAAAAAAAGAATCAACTTCGATGCAATCACTATTCAATCATTTCAAAGTGTGTCGCTCGTTTCCGCTTCGCACTTCCTCCGTGTATTTATTGTATTTATCATTGTAAGTGTTGGTTTTACTGCAAAATAATTTTATTTATAACTTTGACTAATGATTTGCAAACAAAGTAACATCAACAACAACATCGACAACACCAATAGCAGCAGTAATGGGAGGAAACTGTAAATATTTGAGACATTATAAAGACAAAAGAATTGATGGTAGTATTTTTCGCATTAAGCGCATGGTTTTATGCGTTCAGTTTGATGAGTCGATCCGTTGTGTGCACGTCAGCTGCTGTCTGACGATGTTTGGTCTAGTTAAAAGATTTATTACATTATCGAAACGGCTGTTTAGTATTACGGGATCGGCAACAACACAACCATGTGTCGCATTATCGTTTGCACTAGTCTTTGTCCTCACATTCTCGGCAAAATAATGACGCTACAGCCACAGCCACAGCCATAGCCAATACCACAGCCATCGGTTTTGTGTTTAGGTGGTTCTGTATGTATTTTGCACAAATCCTGCTTTATTTCCACTTGCCGAACATCATTGAGAAAAGAAAAACTTTTCCAACAAAATCGCTAAAACTTTCTTCTCGTGTTCTTCGAAACGAAGCGAACGGAGAAAGAGAGATAGAGCTCAGAACTTCATTTTGTTGCACAGCAAAATCGTATCAAGTAAGGAGCCAGTTGTCTGACCAAAGCAGCAAAAATAACATATGAAACAAGTTGCGTCAAAACATAAAGGAACAACGAAACGAAGCACAGAATTATGATACGATAAAATTTATAAACAACAAAACTTTAAGTACATTTCCTGGAAATAAATTTGATGATGATAACTTCAATCAACGAGGCGAAACCATATTGGCTCCTGTCTTGATGAACAAGAAAAATATGGCGAAAATGAGTGTGGTTTCGAGTATGACTGAAGCAAAAAAAAGAGGCGAATGCGAATGACTCGTACCACCAAAAAAGAGCATTCGCTTGATTTTTCCAGCTGTTCTCGAAGTGGAGGAGTTGGGTGCATTTTTATGATGTGCTAAAAAAGATGTTCCGTCAAGGATGAAGATGAAAAAGTGTGGCACCAAGTGATTCCACGGTGATGGTTCTGCTTCTGTATTTTTCTTCTATTCCTCGGCTCTTCTTCTGCACTTTCACACAGTTGATGATGACAGTTTATATTAAGTTGTGTGCTGTATAGTGTAGGAATAAGTTGAGAAAAAAATTGTTTCACCATTGAATGCGCAACATTTATTACGGTCGTGATCGATGCACTTCATTATGCCATACAGAAAAAAGGCAGCACAAACAGACAATCCAACATCAAAGTTACATTAATTTTGAAGAGATGAAAATTTTCAGTAGTTTTGATTTTCTCAATTTTCTCTATCTCTCTCTCCCAGTCGATTCACTTTATTCGGTTCATTTTCAGTCCAGTGTGCTTACACTCGTGCACATGCACACCATTTTCCTTCTCACTTCCATTCCAAAATAGACCGTCATTATTATAAAGAGCTTAAGTTTTTACAACTTGCACTTAAACTTTTCACTTGGATTTTCTATTTTCCACAAATGTTCTTGGATATTTTCTTGACCTCATTATGTAACACTATGTGCGCAATGTGCAACCACTCTTTCTCTCTCTCTCTCTTCACCATCCTCTCTGGCCATACAAGTGTCGTGCAATGCATTAAGTCTATGAGCAAAATGAGAAGAAGACGGAATGGAAAAAAAAGAACTGTGTGCAAATGTGCAAATTGTTCAAAACTTACGATAAACAAACTTTCATCTGATTGCTTTCGCCGAAGCATAACCGAGACGAAAACTCAAGCTGTTTTGTTTATGTTCTGCACAGAAGAAGAAAAAAATAGAAACAAGCGAGTACGTAAAACTCGTAAAGTAACAAACAGACAGATAGACAGACCGATAAAATTGAAACCGAAAGAGTTGATTTTGTTATGGCCGGGATCAAAGTGTGCTTTTCGGTCATTTTTATGACGAAGCTGTATATCTGTGTTCGGCGGATTGATGAGTTTTCATCATTTGACATTCGTTCCACATTGTTCATTTTACAGCTTTATTTTGTCACACTTGGTTTTTTTTTCACTCGTTGACGGCATTGTCGTTGTGCCATTCTCATTTCTTTGCTTCCGCCATTGTTTCGGCAATCCAAATGGTAATGTGTCATTCGGCTGAAACTTTTCTGATGAGATAGGAGAAAAAAAAACTTTATTTCTATGGCTCGACGATCATTTTGCATGGAATGAGCGACATGAATAAAGTAAACATACTGCCAGATGCTATGATGTTGCGCAACTGAAATTAAATTTTGCTGCCAAAAGTTGAACATAGAATTTTTTTTAAACAAACAAACAAACTTGCCGAATAAAACATATTTTTCTGTGGTGTGCAATGCAACCGAATAAATGTCTCGCAGAAAATCGATTCAAATTTTTGTGTTCTTTTGCAAAATTTACTCACAGCACGAATGATAATATCACAACGACGTGCTGAAGTAACGTGGCTGGAGATTGTAAATT